GTTGGCCCTAGAGGAGGGCGGAGGAGGCCGGATCCACCCTGGGACGGGAGAAGCGCGGGCTCGCCTGCCCGCACGGGGAACTCCATGGTGGCCCAATGCCGCCGGCCCGCCTGCTTATTTTAAAACACACGTAAAGAATAATCAGCTCCGGGTCTCCGGGAATCTTCTTCCCAGGGTGGGAGACGTGAGCTGCTGCGAGGATGTACCAGTCAAAAATGCTTTTGCAACAAAGGAGCCTGTTGCATGGAACAGGTTGGAACCACCCGGGAAAGTGACAGCCCAGTTCTGTCCGGGTCCAAGTGCAAGAAGCGGTAGAAGACATGGGTGTGAAAACTCTTGGCAGCAATTAATAAAATTATTACATTAACTTTGCTACCCACTGCCCTGTAAAATGTCAACAACAAAATGCAGCGACTAAAAATGCTGCAGCCCAGAGAGCGGAGCCATTCAAAAATAAACTCAGAGAATCAGGTACACACCAACCGCTCCAGCCCAGAAACAGTCCGGGACGGGCACGTGTGAGGAAGCAAAAAGGCTGAAGATTCCTCAGCAGATACTGACCCTGCGTTCAACACAGCTGATGAGAACGGGGGCATTTCCACTTGCAAGGAACACACGATCGAGGCACCACCACTAACCACGAAATACAGGGACGCGGGCGAGGACCTCTCTTTCCCAGAGATGGGGAAATGGCTTCAGTGTCGCACTGATGCCCCCACCCTGAGGTGCAGATCACGCAAGGATCCGTGGCCGTTTTCTCCTGTGGGAATTGGTCTAGCGAATCCCTTGAGTTCACGCTAGTTTGTAAAAACTCTGCCAAAGAACAAAACTGCCCACGACAAACACCCCAACTGAAGGCACTTGGTGGCAGAGGACTTCCCACTCTTCCTCCTCGGCCCACCCCGTTCTACTCAAGAAGCCCAAACCCCCAAAGACCTCTTCTCGGGCTCCAGAGAACCCCGCTGCCCAGGGGCCTGTCCGCCCGCAGGCCACGCGCGACCCAGGCAAAACCAACTCGGCGCCCAGAGTGAACTCGCCCGCTGGCCGGGCTCCACTCCCAAGACGCCGACCGAGCACGGGCACGCGCTCTTCGCCGCCGAAAGGACCGGCGCCGTCCCGATTTTACCCTAAGGCCAACGAGCACGGGGATGGCCTCCTTTTCGCGAGAACCTCCAACCAGACTGGACCGTTCTCGGAGGCGCCGTCTCCTCGAGCCCCGTCCCGCTCCGCACCGGCGCGCGTCTCGCGATGGGGACGCAGAAGCC